CACTGAATTTCTACAATTTTCATACAGAGTCTGGCCTATACCTTTAAGGGTGAGTTGGCAGTGGGTTAATAAGACAAAAGCACATTTATTAAATCACTAGATGGCACTCCATAAAACTGTGTCAAACGTCAGAATGATTTAAGTAAAGGTAATTATTAGGGATGTAAGAAAATATCGACATGGCAATATATCATATTTTTCCTGCAATATATTATTATTATTATTCAAAAGCTGTGTATCAAATATTTGGAAGAATTTTCAAGCAACCATGCGTGTATTTTCTTTTATTTGCATGCAATTCAAACACCGACCTCTAGTTAGCAGAAATGCGCAATGGGTTTTGTTTCCACAATTGAAATGTAAATCCCTCTATTATGGTTCAAATACCTCATGTTAAACATGTTAAGTATCAGTCTGGACTGTTTATAGAATTTTCCTACAATAAATTCAGTCCAAAAAAATAAATCGCTAATATCCTCTGGCTGAATGTATCAGCCAGAGGCCTAACCCCCAAATTCCACTACCTCCGCTCCGCTGCGCTATGCTCCGACACGAACGCCGGAGCAAAATCGGTCCGGTTCTAGTCAATCAGAGCTATTCCACTACTGCGGCCGTGCTCCGGCAGTGCGGCGCCGTGCGCCGCCCTCTGTTCCGGCGTGCGGCAAAAATAGAATCGATCCTATTTTCGCCGGACGCTGGAGCACCTCCGCAGTAAATGGACAGAAATCACAACCGCCCAACAGGAAAAGGAGCAAGCACAACTTCCGTTTTTCACAATAAATCGATAAACAAAAGGCGTTTTTTGTTTCATATGCACAGGTTTAACAACTTTTAACAACTATCAATGGCGGCTGAAGTTTAAATGCACAAAAGTAAGCCATAAATACAGTTTCCACTATCAAAGTAGTCACACTTTGTTGATCCAAACACTGCTGATCTCTCAACACAAATGATGGGCAGATTAAACAGTTCATGCCGATGCTTCTCCCACACAACGGGTGTTTGGATCTAACTTCCGCGTTTATTGCTCGGACTGTATCGCAAGATCTCGAAAGTCCCGCGCATGCTTGTTTGCCCACCTCAGGTCTCCGCACCGGAGCGGAGCCGTTGTAGAGCGGGTACCAGTAAAAATTGAGTTTGGAAGCGAGCGGCTGCGGAAGGCGGGGGCGGGGCGGAGGTAGTGGAATTTGGGGGTGAGCCTGATTGTGATACGTATCGTATCGCCAGAATTTTACCAATACACCTCCCTAGTAATTATTTGGTTTGTTATGAAGGAGAGCTTATATTTGAGAAACACTATATGATTAAACTATAGTAGTGAATAAAAAATTTAATCAGTGACACAAGGTAGATTTCAAATAAAATATACAGACTTTTATCATATATTGTGATGAAACCCACGTTTATTACTATATTAGACTTGATCTCATCCATCTCATTCTGAGAGCATAACTTAAGCATTGGTAAAAAAAAAAAAAAAAGAAAAAAAGAAAAAAAAAGGACAACAGAGACGTGGAATAAAACAGGGTTCTGCTTGCGTTTGCCAAAATAAAAACGACCAAACAAAAGGAAAAAGTTACACTTTCCAAACATTTTATGCACCCTTTGAAGGAATGAAACAAATAGTTCAGCTGTCAAGTAGCAAGGCAAAATGTCTAACCAATATTTTTTGCCATTCCAAAATCATTCAAAACACAAGTCTGTGATTTTTACATTTGCACACCTTGTAAAGATTTTATTTTATTTTGAAGTCACCCCGGCTTTCCACAAAAGCCGTCAGCAGCACGTTACTGCAGCAGCACGTCATAGCTGCTGATAGGAACCGCTGTGGTCAACAGAACCTTTTCCACTGGAGCCGTCAGCAGGCGTCAGCAGCGCGAGTTGGCCGCGTCTCAGGAGCAGCATGTCACGGCCTTTACGCGCCGGTTCTATTTTCTACGTGCGACGCCTCTGAAATGAGTCAAGTTCGACTTTTTGGGGAGGGAAAGACAGGAAATCGGACGCGGAAATGGAGAGAAGCTCCCGAGATTTTCAGAATAAAGAACGTACTGCCTTCCGGTTGCTTTACTTTAAAAAAGGTTACTAACTGTGCGGCCCCGTGAGAAGTTATCACCTAGCTAGTCACTCGTGTGACTTCGTGCTCGGTCGGTGACAGCTGCTCCCCTGCTGCTTCGCGTCTCGTGGGAAGGGCCAAGCAGCAGCTTACGCGAGCAAGACGTGCTGCTGCAGTAACGTGCTGCTGACGGCTCCTGTGGAAACCCGGGGTTAGGGAATCAAATAAGTGAAACTTGATTCTTAGTTGTGGTTGTATGAAGGAAAAAAAGAAGACCTACACAAAAACAAAACATGTCTTAGCAGCAAGGGTCCTTATCCAGGAGATACTCTTACAACCAAAGAATTCAGATCACACAGGTGTATTCGAAAGCAGCTGATCACATCCATTGCAAAAGACAAGAAACACACTCTGCAATTAAAAATAGGAAGACAACTTTTAACACTCTGCTCTGAGGAGAAAAACAGAGGGAACATTTTTAAGCCTTTTTTCTTGCACAACACCATCTGAACCAGGAAGGCCTTGGGAAGTGTGTTGTGACACAAACAGCTGCGATGCCTTGCAGTGGGAAAATGACAGTCTGGAAAGCCTCAAACACCATAACCTCTGGATATGAAGCCTCAATCAGCTTCACTCTACTCATTATATGAAGCTACTCTTAAAATGAAAGATGCCTTATCTAAAAGAAAACTGCTTCCTTTTTTAAAGATTGTATGGAAAACAGGAACTTATACCACCAACTGCACGTTTTTTCACCAAATTTTTAATTAGCAACGTGGAACTAATATTGATGGCTCTCCTCAGGGTTGTGCACATTCTTGTCACTCTGCATTAACAGCTGCACCTCTGTTGATGAATCTTTCAAACTTTGCAGACACCACAATGCTCATTTGGTTGTGGCTATAAACAGAAAGAAGACAATATGGTAACTTGATATAGACACAATAACCTTAGTGCTAAAATAGGTAGGGAAGATTGTGGACTTCAGACGATATTGGCACCCAGCCCCCATCATAAGGCCTCTTCCCCACAAGAAGACCATGACATCCTTCCACATCCTGGAGGCTATCATTTCCCAGGGCCCAGAAATGGAGCTGCATATCAGTTGTCTTATTAAAAACAGGACAGCAGAGGATACACTTCCTGCAGCAGCTAATGAAGCTCAGTCTACCAAAAGCAATGACGGTGCAATTTGTTGAATCCAAATGCACCACTTCTTCACTTCACTTCTAATGGTCTGATCTGATGCTACCACAAACAAAGACAAAGTGAGACAGTAGTGAGTCGTAAATGGTCCTCTTTACAGGATCTGTTCACCTCCAGAACCCTGAAGTTAATCAGAAAATTAGATCCTGACCCCTTCCACCCTGGAATTAAAGTTTGAAGCTGTTCCTGCGGTCCACTGAACCAGTACTCCATGGCATAGAAACAGTGTGTTTATACATTATCTAAAGTCGATAGGTCGATCTAAAAAAGTAAACTAGGAGTCTTTACACAATAGTTTACATGTACGTTGGAAAACTGAACACTCAAAGGAAGTATGTTCCATTCCAGTACAGTAGGTGGCGTCCTTTCGTCTGCATTCCTCCAGTTAGCTTATAGCAACACAGTAAAAAAACACAGGCAGGAGTTAAGCAGACGGAGTTAAAAGAGGATATGCACAATGGCTTAAGGAATGGAAAACAACAATGCTGCAGCACAGCTTACTTGGTACGTACTGTGCTGTTTGTGGCAATGGTATTATCAAAAGACCACTTTCGTGGCTCGTCACTTCTGGGAGTGACTGGTATCAGCTTGACTGATCCATTTACATGCTGATGAAGTCGGGTACTAACTGCATCTGGGTGCTTCAGCACGATTAGAACCAGTTCGCCTTCAGCATGATTAACTAGCTTGCATGCGTAAAAAATAAATAAATAAAAAAGGTTAGTTGCCTGGTTTTCTAAAGCGCTCGTAAATGCACTAAGTATCTTCCCAACTACAAATGGACTATCAAATACTCATTAGCATACTCTTTCCATACAGGTCCAAACTGCCCTCCAGAACATGCATATTCAAAGCTGATATAACATTTACACTTGTATTACTTTGCACATCTTCTTTGCTTGAAAGTGTGTATTCTATTAAAGCATGTGAACAAAATTACTGTGTTGAGAAAAAGAAAATCAAACAAGTCTCAGTCATTGCCCAATAAGTCTGCCATTATTTACATAGCAGTAAGAAACAGGGCTGGGTTGAGGTTCACAAGTGCACGAGTAATGAAACAACCTTTAAGTTACCATAAAACTATTTCTAACAGCTTTCCTCATCTCTTTTATAAAATATTTTTGGACAACTGATCTTGCACAACCTTGCTTCAAATGTTTAATTATTGTTGTCAGTTTGCTACGTTTTCTTGGGGGGCAACCTTAATAAACTGCTGCAGTTAGCAGCCTGGATTCAAACACTGGATTAGTCATTTGTAATTTCATAAGTTTAGCTAAGAACAAGCTTAATAGTCACGTCTAAATAGCTATACAACGTAATGGCTGTCAGAAACTGCTCCCTTCACACCTTGAGGATTATTTAAACTTGTAACACACAGCAATCACTGACTTCTATCCGGAGCAATAATGCTAAAGTTACCGTGTAACAATGCATTTATAGCATAAACTTCCATGCCACACCGTGACATAAACACACCTGCGCCACTTTCCTAGAGGTCGCGTATAGAGGTTAGCAAACAGAATGTGAACTAAAGCCCCCTAGCCTGTCCGAGGCAGCTGTTTAAACAGAACGTGAGGAAACCGCAGTGCAGACGCATCAGCTGTATTTTGAAAAGTCCCTGGCAGCGCTAACGTTAACCTGAGCACGTAACTGCCTGCGGCGACAGCAACCCTTCCGCCGGAGAGAGAGCACCTTCTTACCGGTGGCTAATACCAGGAAGCAGGATTGACTGAACACCCACCTTATTTCAGAATGCAGTCTCGCTTTAAATGCACATTCTTCCGTCACACCGAGAGGAGACGCAATATTAGGCAGCCAAAAGCAAACGCGGCAGAGAATGCGCCTGGCAGATCTGTCTCTTCAAACTTAAAATGCCTTCTTGCTTTTGATTGGTCGAGGCCGTTGACTTCGTTGCGTTCATGTGTTCCTCGTAAACGCCCCTTCTTGTTCTTTCATGTGAAAGAAAAACATGCTCATATGCATTTCTGAGAGCCAAGAACAATATTTTATGCAATTGATTATTTAAAACAGATAATAGATTAAATATATTGGTTTCAAAATCAAGGTTTGTCACCATTGCCCATCTTCATTTTCTCCTTTTGGCTCTGACTAACGTTTCCAGCAAAAGGATCAAAATATGCTGTTTTTAAAATGTTTTATTTTTGTTTATTAATTACACGAAATGTGCAATTTCAAATTTCAATCATGGCTATACTTCACCTCATAAATCACACACGTTTATGTAATCTGTATTAACTTGTTGTAAATCTAGGGTTGTATCTATCTAACTACTGCAAACTTACTTTGTGGAAATTATTAAGAAATCCTCTGATCAAGGAACAGACCATCGCACCAAGTAATACAATAGCACACCCTGCTGTTCAAATCAGCACAATTTGGTACACAAAGTGTAAGTGAAAGTGAAAAAAAATATTTATGTTTTTGCCTGTTTAGAACCCTAGAGAGCATAGAGCTATTGTGAATATAATGGAGTTACATGTTAACGGCCTTTTCAGCATGTATGCAAGTGTTATTTACAACTACAACAAGCACCTTACCCTAAACTGATGTCTTGATGGTTTTTATATGGTTGCATTTACACTTAGCACATAAATAAATGAATACAAATAAAAACTAAATGAATGAAAATAAAAATTCTGCATGCACACAGCACTTGTATTGCATAAGTATGCAAGACTACGAAATTAGTCACAGGTCAGGTCTTTTTTTAAGGAATTGCACAAATATACCATCACCCATACACATAAACCCAAAAAGTACAGTGCACTTTTTACAAAACATTGTGTGAGAATTAATACCTTTCTGTAATAAAAACACTTAAGACAATAAAGGTCAACAAGGTCATTTCTTTTAGAAACACAAGATGTTCTTTATTTTGTTCTTATTGTGTCTGAGTGTATTTTGCCATCCAAGCCTTTTTTTAACTAATTGCATGTAGAAAGCTGTGATTCTTGCAGTGGCGCTGATCCGTGTCTTTCCCCATCAGGTTAGTTGGGTAACACCAGGCCAATCTGAAAAACAAGCACCTGTTATTGTGAAGTAAAGACAAACTTTGTTATAATCCCTAAAAATAAAACTTGAAATAATTTTTAAAAAGGGCTCTGACTTTTACTTATACTTGAACTTTTTGTCAGACAGCATGATCTCAAAATCTGCTATTACATGCTCTTTACAAGGGGTCTTTGAGCTGTTCTACAGAGGAGTTTGTTAATGGGTTCGTACATTAAAATATAAATGGACATATTTAGCTGATTTCTTTGCATATCCCTCCTACAACTCTGCATGAAGAACAATCACTGATGCAGTCCTGAAAGTAATATATGGGTGAGAGATTATCTTGAGATTTCTTTTCTAAAAAAAACCATAAAATAAATTAGCTTTTCATGCAACTTTAAACCTTACTGAGCTCTAGAGAAAACCTATTAAGCCAGTCAAAGAGCAGCACTTAACCTCTCCACATTTTGAGGCATCTGGGATGTGTATTATGGTCAGATAAATCAGTATTCCAGAGGTTTTTGGGAAGAAAAAATTGTATTCTCTAAACCAAAGATGAAATGGATCTTGGATGTCATCGGAAAACAGTAAATCCAAAAACCAGTCTCTGTTATCATGTGGGGTTGTATCAGTGGCAACAGTGATTTACTTCTGTAATAGAACTCATGCAGAAACATAAAACAGTTTAGTGTAGCAAACGTTGCTTTCAGGGTGACATTTTATATAAATGTTCACATCTTTTTTATCAAGATATTGAAAAACGGCATTTTTGCACACCTTGTAAAAGCATGGCTTGAGAAGAAAACAGTACAGAAAAACCCTCCTTGTACAACTGAACCATCCTTTTAATAGAAAATGCACAAAACTTTTTAACTTGATATCTGACAAAACACACACACACACACACACACACACACACACACACACACACACACACACACACACACACACACACACACACACACACACACACACACACACAGACCTTGGGGAGCCATTTTCAAGTGTGAATGGTTTTAGAACGTCAGGACTGCCCAAATGCAGCAAATACCTAACTGGATTGATGCAAAAAAAATTGACACTAAAGGCCGGAACATTCTTGCTTTTCAACCTCGCGTTTACGCAAGCAGCAGGCTGCGTTTTTGTTCACATACTAGCTGCTGCACTGCATGTAGTACTGGAGGATTCCACTAGGATGGCACAGGAGTGTGCTCAGACCAGAAAGAGAGCCGGGTTTGTGGATGCAACCAAAACAAACATGACGTCAATAGAAGAGATGCGTAACTGGTTAATTTTGAGATCACAACAGAAAAAAAGACAGCAGAGGTACCATAGATGGTATGAAAGACCAATAAACCAGAGACGGTGTCACCATGGTGAGTGTGTCTCGCTCGTTTGGTAACCTACTGGTTACACGTATATTGAACTGTTTGGATGCGTCAAGGTAATTCCAGAGGAAATGCACAAACAGGATTTGGAGACTTATTTCCTGATATCTGGACATCTCACCTCTGATTGGCTAACAGCAAGATGACTCTACCTCTAACTCTGATTGCTCTACAACACGGATGTTTAATTTCTACAAATAATACAAGCCTGGAGGAGTTCTGCCATATGGTGGAGTTGCTAATGCTAATGTTAGCTTCTAGTAGCTGATATGTTCTCAGCTGTTTCCTGGACGCTAAACCAACTACAACCTTCCCCGTCATGAATCATGAGTCCAAGAATGTGAAGTGACGGTGTGACATAGATCTGTCAGGCTTTTGAAATCCTAAAGTTTCAACGTCTATTTTCTATCAGAAGCTAATGCAGGAGGTAGGTGTAGGAGACAATTTTCATGGTCAGCCTGCATGAAAAACTCAGAATGACCATTTATAATCAGAAATAATCATTAGGAAATGGTTTTTCAGTGTTGCACATCTTTAAGACAGCAGCAAAACACTTTGCTAGTGGTATTACTAAGACCAGCCGTTAGCATGTCAGTCCCAAACTATATTTCTACATACCCAGACCTTAAAATAAGTCGTATACAACCAGCAAGATAAATTTTACTTGGAAATACACTCAAGATGTGTTTGTGGAAAGCAAATTTAAAATGTTAGACGTTTGACTGATTACTGTAACAAAGTTGTGTTGTAAGCCTGGAATGCAGGAATTGATATATGCTGAAGAATAAAAATAAACTTGACAAGACAAAGTGCAACATATCTTGTTTGGTACCATTTGTAATAAACAATAAAACAAAATAAATGTAAGAATAGCTTCTTTTTAGCATCGTGCTTCCAGATTGTCTAAACATTTTTGATCTGAGTTTGTAAAAACCCAAAGTGTTATCTTCATGTGAGCGATTTTGTCAATTTAGCTCCAGGAAGCAGCATCAAATGACCAAGTTGCAAAAGACCTCCGAGTGCACAGACAGAGAATATTGAGTCCTGGCAGGTGGAGATATTACTCTGTCGAGTACCTTGTCGGGGCTCATGAGAGGACACGTCCAGTTGTACAAGTAGTAATGAACTCTCTTGTCACTGATAGTGAACTTGAGCTTCTCCAGGAAACTTGTGTTGTCCATCACATCCAGTGCACATAAAACGTCAAAGCCTTTCTGTTGGCGAGGGACCAGAACAGTAGTTACCGTCACAGTAAAAACAATAAAAGTAATAGTTACCGTCACAGTAAAAACAATAAAAGTAATCTAAACCAATAGATTAGGGGGTATTTATTCGCTTTTCTTCAGATGCACTTACAGATTTAGCCAGTATCAACGTGTCCTTCATGAGCTCAGCCAGCTCTGTGGCAGCAGAAGTAATGCAGAGAAGATAAGCTGCTCTGAGACCAGTGTGGACAGGGTGATTCAGAACTCTCTGGGAGACGCCGTAGAAACTCACCACATCTGTCAACGTGCCGTCATCTCCCTGTGAGCAAAGAAGGGGAGGTCAATCAATTTTTAACCACCACAGAACAGCATCATTTAAATTCTATACAAAAATGTTGGTGAAAGATCTTTTTTTCTCTCTTCAAAGAAACTTAAATTGAGTGAACCTCCACCACGTAGGTGTCATTCACATTCTCCCTTGGTAAGAACCAGTGCTCTACTTCCTGCAGAGATAAGAGGGGGCTGAGGTGAAACTTGCTGAGATTTTTCTGGAGCAGTGAGTGGATCCCTGGAGCATCTTCTTTGATCATAGGGCGCAGACCTTGTACTTTTGGAACCTTGGGAGGGAGAAAAAAAACAGCCATGTCAGGGCAGAGAAAATGCAAAAAAAAAAACCTTCAGAAAACAGCGTGTTTTACCATAAAGAGTTCATGCCTAAATCAATACTGCATGTCCTTTTAACGAGAGCACGTTTCAGAAGCAGTAGGGGTGCTCTGTCTGCAGAGGGCAGCACACACAAACCTCAGGTAAACAGTAGAACTTGATGGCTTGCTGAAGACTCATTTTCTGCCTTAGACCCGGGAAGTTGACCTCCATTAGCTTACGGGGATTCAAAGGTCGATGCCACAGACTAAGAAGAATTTAATTGTTTGTTTAGTGGGCAAAATCCACCTAATTTAATTTCAGTGGGTCTGATTTGAGTGTTAGGCTATTACAACACACAAAACAAACCTGCAGGAGCTCAGTGGAGTGGGAAGCACTGTCCCAGCTGTGTACACAGCCTGGTGCAGCCCCTGCTGGTTGACCCGCCTCGTGAGCTCCCTGATCAGAACTGGAGCCATCCGTTTAAGACGCAGCTTCTTATGAACACAGAGGAATTTCACTTGCACCAGCTGCTTCATCCTGTGTGACACATTTCAAACCTTTAAGATAATCGACAGAAAAACTGCAACTGTTTAATGCTTCATGCACTAATACTGCTCATCAGGTTTTACACATAAATATATCTTTGCATGTGCTTACGAGTTACTCACGTCTCATAAATGCGAATCCCTGCAGGAACGGCAGCAATGAAGCCGACCAGCTTCTTATTGCTGTCTACTCTCACAGCCAAGAGCCACTGGAGAAGGCCGTTTGGGGACTGTAGAGCCCTTTAGGAGGAGACCAATGCCAACAGTTATTTATTTCTTTAAAAGATCAATTCTGATAGATCACATTTTTGAAGTCATAGTTTTTCTTATCTTCAGGCAACAAATGCCACTGACAGCACACAGAAAATGCTGAATTATTAATTTCAAGGCAAAAGTTATTACATTATATTTTGATGTATGTCGTCCTCAGGGCAGAGACATCAATTAGAAACATCACTGAGCTATAATGAGCTGTTATATTAAGTTAACATATTAACAGATGCTCATTTTTAAGAAAAATTGTACAATTTTGTCAACTGATAAGAGGGAGGCGATGTTTTTGCCTGTGTGTGTGTGTGTGTGTGTGTGTGTGTTAGCAGAATATTTCATGGATGTATTTTAATTAAAGGTAACAATTTCATGTACATCTAATTGACTTTTGGAGTGATCCCTGCTCAAATGTCCAGCAGCTGACGTTGTAACACACAAAATTGCTTAAAGGTGTGGGAAACTCCTTTAATCAATACATTTGCAATAATCTGTTGTACTAAATTAATACCTTGCAAACTCAGGGCAAAAAAGCGCAGAAACACCTGCATAAGCATGGATGAGTCTGCCAGATAAGAAGAGAGCTAAAAGCCACACTTGACAGTTTTGCTAGTTTTTAGCACCCCCTAGTGTCAGTTAGTAATTTTCTGTGGTTAAACAGAAAATTAAACTTATCTCCTCGCTGAGCTGTCTTTTTAACACCTTAATCGAACTGCTGAAAGTCTCCTCAGCCTTTGTTCGTTTCTACAGGAATGGTTCATCACTAAATTAAACAAATGAGTTGTGTTCATGATCTAAAACATGCAGGAAACGTGCTGGAAGCAGACTGCCGTGCCAGGTGTGTCAGCTGAATTTTTTCTAAGTCCAACGGTCGGCGGCCCACCACTCTGAAGTTGCAAGTGCAATATTCTGGCCACAGAGAGCGGTATGGGTCTGACTGACATTTAATTAACCATGTAAAGAGTCATTTTAGCATTTGACCTGACACGGAGACAGAGGTGAAAGAGAAAGGAAGAGACAAAAGGAAGAGGTGTGTGTGTGTGTGTGTGTGTGTGTGTGTGTGTGTGTGTGTGTGTGTGTGGGGGGGGGGGGGAAGGGAGGAGGGGGGAAGGGGTTCCACAAAAATAAACAATCAGTGATGAACAAGAGTGCTTCTAGACATGCAGAAAGACAAAAACAAACACAAAAATTAAGGGACGCACAACAATACAACAAGAGCAAGCTATCACTGTGTCAACCTGATGAGGAAATATAAAATTAACATTCTTTTACTGAACAATCACAGGGTAATAAATCACAGTGCATACAGTGCCAACCACAGCCTTACGACATGTGTTGAAAATGCCCAAGTCCATACTTATGAGAGCACCATGTGAGCATCTCTGTGTGTACACGCGCTTGTATATGTAAGGTTTCTCTATAGGAGCACCCAATAGAGAGTGTGAGGGGCCACAGATCTGCCCCCCCAAAGATGCGTAGGAGATGGAGGGAGCTCCAAGTCCCAGAGATCCAGGAGCTGCCCCAGAGCACAGGGACCCCAGGGAGACTGTAACCAGAAAAGCCCCAGCCCCCTCTCAAGAGGCACAGAGGATTGCCCCGGGGGGCCACAACCAGCAGCTGGCAGTCCCGGGAGATATCAGCGGCAAGCCTACAGGCCCGCCCGCAGCCTCCCACCCCCAAGCCGGCCAAGCCCGGAACCCAGCGACCCGGGACCCATAATGTTATTTCAATCTTTATCCAACACACCCATACCTCAGTCAAAGGTGGTGGATGACGTTAATTTCTCCAAAGAATGTTAGACATTTAGTTTGTTTAAGAAACCAATGCTATTCTTAAACAATGATTACTATTTTAGATCAAAGAAACATAGGGAGGATAAAATCAAAACGAAGTACAGTTTAGTCTCAAGGAGATATTAAAAATGCACAAACCAAGATGACTGGATGCATCTGGCTGAAGCCTACCATTGCAGATACTCCAGAGAGAAGTCAAATCTGATAGTGTTGTCGTCGTCTTCCATGTAGTTCTTATTTAGTAGACCACACAGCTCTCGCAACTGAAAGAAAGAATCAATCCTCTTGAGCATTATTGTCTGGACTAGGGCTAGGCGATATGGCCTAAATTCAATATTACGGCGTTCGCATCGATAACGATAAATCAACGATTACTACATGTATGTGCAAAAACAGAAGTTGTCCACTAGGTGGGGCTGTCACATGTATTACTTTGAGTGACTTTGCCACGACTGGAGGTGGTACAGCTTCTTAAAGTGGCATGACCTGTGGCCAACATACACACATCTTTTCATTTCTTAAATTATCAAATTTAATGACATGGGAAAAACAATAGATTAGAGTCAGAAAGTTCGATAATGATACATTTTCGATGTATCGCCCAGCCCTAGTCTGGACTTCGCGTTTTATACTCATCCACTTGGTCAAACTTACTGAGGTTTTCCAAAACGCTGTGTCTTAAAAGAAAAAAAATCTCAAGAGCAACAGAGCTAATAATTATTATTCAAGTTAATGAATGCTGAAGGCAGAATGAGTGATGTCAGAAGTTGACGTTTTTGGCAGGAAGCCTCCAAATTTCTTTTCTAACTGTCTCAAGGCTTAGCTCACAAAATCATTCTTGCATTTTTCCACTCCATTTTGAAAAATGATGCTAAAACAAGCGTGACTGTGCACCTTTGCCAACTTGTAATAAACTGAATTGTAGCAGATATGTTCACTTCTTGTGATTAGTTTTGGAAAGGAAACTGAGCTTGATTATTTCTGGCTCACGTTACTCAAGAGTTTTCTAGCCAAAAACAAAAAAAAAAGAAAGGGTTTAATATTTCTGAAACTGATTAGTTTGACTCAATTTTAGGTAACTTACCACCAGAGAGTTGCTCAGGTCAAGAGAATCCCAGCAGAAACCTGGAGGTAGTGAGTAGGGCTCCTTTCGAACACTGGTTTCCCCCTCTGCTATTGGACCATGAGTTGTAATGCTGTCACCTAAAAGAGAAACGTGTATGCTCATGCTCAACCACATAAAATATCTACCTGATAACCATGACAACCACATAGAAGGGTAGGATGAAGATTTATGTATGGCTGGTAGGAGTGAAATTCTCCTCGTTTATATAGGATGGTCTAGAACTTGCACAGTTTCAGTTCTCTGTGTGAGTGGGAGGGCTTTTCTCTCTGCAGGGCAGGGGCTGTGTCCATGACGGATTTTGTGAGTTCCCAAGGCCCTATCAAGCTGTGGCTTATGAGCCTGAAGGTGTCTCTGTGGATGAATATGCTGTCTGCCTGTGCTAATGACTCTGTTGCAGACAATTCCCGCTTCTGTCATAACTGACTCCAGGATTGTAAACTTCTTCGTCTAGTACCACTAATGTGGCCTTGGCCACTTTTCTGTTGTGATCACTTGTTTTGCAGCCTTTGATTTGTAGCCTAGAAATCTAAACAACCCATAGAAGTAGCAAAAATAAGTTGCTTTGTAGGTTGTTCAAGCCACACTCCATTGTAGCATTTGCAGGTCTACTGTTGGCAGTACAGTTTTGTTTCTGGCCAAGGAGAGCACTATGTTTGTAGAGACATCATGTGGGTTTACCGCTAGAGCAGCGATAGAGAAGAACTACGAAGATGGTGTTGGCTCAGGAATGCTCATGGCTCATGTTGTTTGTTGCTCTGATTGGTCCCCGCACTGTCCAATTCTGTGCAGAGACAGTTTGAAAGACAACTATTGATTCCGCCCCGCTACCTGGTGGTTTCAGTGGTTCGTGGCCAGACTATATATTTACGTATACGGTGAGGCTTGCTAGGCTACTAGATTTGTAAAGCTTTGTGATAGTAAAGAGACTCTGAGAGGATTTCTATGAGTGTCTGCTGATCCTACATTCAGTTCTAAGCTGCCACTGTTGGATCCGAGATAAATTGTGGTAATGATTTACTTTGTGGTGATCTCTTTCTTGCAATGGGTAATACTTGAATGTGGTTATGAATATGACTTTAAATAGATTAATTTAGGTGGTGAGTGTCTGTGTGTGTGTGTGTGTGTGTGTGTGTGTATTACCCATTCAAATTATAAGTTAATTGCAACACACTACTAAATTGTAATTGCATGGATTGAGCAAAATTAAAATAGTTTGAGAGCTCTACAAATCAGCTCCTATTTCTTAGAAGAGCCAAATTACACCTTTCACTGAGAAGAGACAAAATGCTTCCTGGATAGTCACACACTCCTATATCTGTTTAGAGACAGACTAACAAACATCACTCAACTTCCTACATGTAACTGAGGTATACTTTTCACCCCCCCCCCCCCCCGCCCCCCCCCCCCGATAATTAACTAGTTTTGTACACATTCATACCCTGTCACAGGTTGTAATGAGCTGTTGAAATGGCAGAAATGATTGATGCTACATTTATGTTTAGAAATATTAACAGTTTTAAATAGTTGTAACAAAACAAAGTAAAAGTGAGTCATGAAAAGGGTAGAATGCCTTCTGCGGGTCAGGGATGAGGTCCTGCCTCAAGTGGAGGAGTTCAAGTATCTCAGAGTCTTGTTCACGAGTGAGGGAAGGATGAATTGCCAGATCGATAGGCGGATTGGTGCTGCGCCCGTGGTGATGCGGGCGTTGTACCGATCTGTCATGGTGAAGAGAGAGCTGAGCCAGAAGGCAAAACTTCCAATCTATCGGTCTTCTATGTTCCTACCCTCACCTGTGGTCACGAGCTTTGGGTAGTGAGTGAAAGAATGAGAATGTAGATACAAGCGACCAAAATGAGTTTTCTCCGCAGGGTATCTGGGCTCTCTCCCTTAGAGATAGGGTGGGAAGCTCGGTCATCCGGGAGTGGCTCAGAGTAGACCTGCTGCTCCTCCACATCGGGAGGAGCCAGTTGATGTAGGCCGGGTGGTCAGGATGTCTCCTGGACACATCCCTAGTGAGGTTTTCTAGGAACGACCAACCGGAAGGAGACCCAAAGGAAGACCCAGGACACGCTGGAGGGACTATGTCTCTCAGCCCCTGTGACGCGACCCCATATTAGCAGAATACAATGGAAAGATGGAAGAAAGGAAAAGTTTCGGTTTTTAGACAAACCAGCTTTGTTATAGCTTTGAGAAGAACAAATTCATTGTATGAATGGGAATTAAAAAATAGTCTTGATAGGCAAGTTGACAAAGAGACAGGAAACTGGAAAAAATGTTGCTGTTCAAGGTGACAAATTCTCCCTTCAGAACACTGAAGCTCTATAAATTCCATCTTTTAGCCTATTTTAAGCTATGCTAAGTTGTATTTAGGCCCTAATTCTTCAAGTCATCAGCCCTTTGGCTAGACTTAGTTGGCAGGCAGCCCCTGCAGGGACATTTTCTCAGCTTCAGCCAAGGTTTATTAAAAAATGTAGACCTAATGATACATTTCAGAGAGATACGTTTCTTCTTACCCAGTTTGGGGACAGGTTGTGTGTCCCAAAAGTGGTAGGTGTGCCTTTTGGCCTCTTGCAGGGTCTTGGGCAGACATTGGCCCAGAGAGAAGAGATGAAGGGCTTTCTGGATCTCCTGCTGTTTCTTCTCTGGCAGAGCGTCCAGCTGGCAGGAGAAATGAAAGGGAAAGGACAGGCCACCATAACCCTGTTTTAGCTAACTCCTACATACGTCAGCCTGAGGACACATGATCAGTAAAATCTCATTATTTCATTTGGCAAATTGAGTTTATGTGCACAAACAAACCACCGAAGTTACTTTCAATGTGCAAACGTCTCTCTCTCTCTTTCACACACTCTAAAATACAAACCATGGCAAATGGGTCTCTGGGTCCCTCTGGTCTCCAGGCATTTTCTTTCTTTTGCTTCTTGTTGCTCTTTTTAAGACTGCCACTCTCATCATCCATCTGCTTCTGATCGCTAAAAGACATTTTACCCCCTAAAAGTATTTTCCTGTGTTTTTAGAGCTATAGAACTAGATAGCTCAATTAAAATGAAAACACTAAACACTTGTGTAGTTAAAAAGACCTTAAACCAGTCTGTTACACTGTGACGCTGTAGGCAAACTGGGGTGTGTTTTTGAAACACTTGCAGTTGCTTTGCTCTTATCTCTGGAAGCAGTGAGGGGAGGAGAGTGGTTGCCATAACTACCCAACCCAACTCACACCCAGCTGACAGATAACAGCCATTACATTTAACTTGTCGTCTTTAGAAACTTGTGAACATAAATGTCTGGAAAGGCTTTTGGATTTAACAGGTCAACAGAATAGAAAGTCTCTCTATGGCAGGGATTGCCAATATTTTAGAAGCTGAGAGCTACTTTGTGAGTATTTAAAGGATATTCCACCCAAAAATTTTATTGTCTTTTGACATATTTCCCAGCGTTAGATAAGTGTGAAAATAGTTTTTTAACCAGCCCAGTCATTCTCCTGACCTGCTGTGCTCCAAAACACATATCTAAAAACGCCCAGGAATAACTAAGGGTAAACCATTGGACTATTCTAAAGTGGCCTTCTATAGTCCTGACCTCAATTGTATTGAGTCTTTCAAAGGAGCTGAAACATGTCATCTGGAAAAGGCGCCCTTCAAATCGGGGACAACTGAAACAGTTTTCTTATGAGGAGTGGGCCGAAATACCTGCTGATAGGTGTGGAAGTCTTAACAGTTATAGGAATCATACAATGGCAGTGGTTGCCTCAAAAAGTTGTGAAACAAAATACTAATTTAGGGGTACCATTACTTTTGTCCAGGCCTGTTCCATGAGATTATTTTTAAAATAATTCCATAGACGAATGGTTAAAAAGAAAATGCTGGGCGTCACTCGTGACGTCTGCAGCTGCGCAAAACTCAAATGGGGGACAGGAAGGGTTTTACTCCACAACAAAACATTGAGATACAACACGGCGCGATGGATGAAAGTGATTTTACTAAGACTATAAATGAGCTCGCACTGACGTGATATCGCAAAAAAATACATGTTATTTTAGGTTACGACCCATATAGTTTAAAAAGTTGCACTTTTCATACACTGTGGAGGATTTACCCAGCGCTAAAGCGATTGGCAACAAACTACCCTGTGCTGTCAGCCTCATATTACACTGCAAACCAATCGAAAGTATTTACAAGCCTGGAAGCTTACAGCTATTTTATTTCAGGTTGGTTAACCTCTTTTTGATCCGGAGAAGTCTTCAATCACCATCATCTTGTGTTTGCTCGGTAGTGAGTTGTGCTATTTTATTCATTAGTTCATAATAATAATGCTATTGCTAATGCTAATGATCAGAATATGCAAGGATCTACTTGTAACTAACTTTGTAAATCCAAATTTCTGGTACATTTGTTTGATTTCCACGTTACAACACCAGACTAACTGCTAAAAACGTTAGAACTCTGAGAGCTGTTTGCAGTGAGGACACGTGAAAACAGTATAAAAGTGTTATCCTGTCATTTTTAATGGCTGTTTCCAAGCAACTGTTTAATAAAACACTCAGTAATCTCTTACTTGTTAGAAAGTGATCACTGTAATCTCTAGCATTGTCTTTTACAGCTCTTGTTCTAAGCCGTAGAATACTTCTGCCATCTTCTTTCAGTAGATATTTTTTTTATTAAGTCCTTTGTGGCACACTACATTCAGGACATTTGTCTTTGTCCTGATTAGAGTGATTGAAATAACCGTAGACCGCACAGAATTTCAGCATTTTAACTCCAAGTCACCAAAGTAAACAGTGTTTTGTGCAGCACCGGCTACTTCTGGACCCCATCTGCATTTGGTGATATAGATGCAACGTCATGTGAAACCCTGCAATGTCTGACTTTCATTGGTTAAATTTCATAGAATTTTAAATTTACTATTACGTTTGTCAGATTGTCAAGCTATTTCTGTGACCATTGTGAGTTTTTCTTTCATTGACCAAAGGGTACCAACAATTTTGTCCATGTCTGTCTATTTTGATATATTACATAGATTACATACATAGTTAAACTAAAATGTGCTGCCATGGCAAATGCCTCCAATCTGATGTGGAAATATTTGTATTTGGGCACCTTTGGCTCCAAGATGGTGACGATACAAAACGTTCAAAACCACCAGAGATACAATCTCCACTTAGCTTCATGACTTTAAGTAGCGCATGAAAAATGTACAAAAGTTTATATTTTTCAGTTAAATGGTAAAATGGCTTGTACTTGAGATAGCACCTTTTAAATTCCTGGAACCCCCCATGGCACTTTACAACCCAATCAGTCATTCGCTTGTTCACACACACATCCACACCCTGGTAGTGATGAGCTACATAGCCACAGCTGCCCTGGGGCACACTGATAGAGGTGATTCTGCCGTACACAGGCGCCACCTGTTGCTCCGAACACCAGCAGCAGGCAAGGTGGGTTAAGTGTCTTGCCCAACGACACAACAACAGCGGCAGCATGAGCAGGGCTTGAACCTGCAACCTTCTGGTTACCACCACCTTTAAAGCAGGCAACAAACAAAGCCAGTGGTAGATTTATTCAAATCTGTTGTACCACACACTTTCTCCCTTCTGGGTATTCGTAACACTTTTTGTGAGCATTAGCTGTGGCATCCTTTGCATTGTTCATGATGAACGCTCTCTGTGTACACCCTGAGGGAGGTTCAGTGTTTTCCCTGAGGAGTTGGTCGCATCCGTCTGTTGTGCATCTTGTGTACTGAGCTCACTCCATCCACATAACCACTGGCGCTAAATCGGTCTACTCTGCTTTGATCCAAAATGCTTTAAACTAAAATATGCATGTGAAACAGAAGCAGCCTGGATGTTTTTTCATCCTTAAAAGTGCAGCCTGGAGCTATTTTTGTCCACGCTTCATGCCTCTATGTTATTATCCTGCCACTCAAAGTTAAATGCCAAGAGGAGAAGGATGCTACCAACACCTGCCATCATTCAGGATGAGGCAGAGGATTTGGTGGAAAGTGTATAAGCAACAGCTGATTGAACAACAGGGAGGTAAAGGGCAGAATGAGGTAGACAAACATGCTCTTGATATGATTCAGGTGTTTCAACATGATGTGATCTACATAAAGAAATTAGGCTTTTCTTTACAGGTCTGTGAGTAGGACCAAACCTGTAAGCCAAAGGGTACAGCAGCAGATGTATGCAGAGGGAAGAGTCTAAATAAAACATCCTGTGAACATTATAAAGCACATCCATGTGACAACATCTAACCCGCTTCTAACTGCAACAGAACACTGTTTTTGGCAGGTATCTACATTTAAATAAACTAATGGTGATTTGTGGTGATTCCAGTTCACGCCCTAACCTGAGGTCAAATTTATATCTGGTTATGATGTACATGGCGACAACTTTTATGTTCCACATAAACAGGCATTCCTCTCCTGTGCAGCTGTTGGATTTAAAACTGTGGGATGAGTGCAACTCTACACAGTGGATTTTTGCTTATGCATAAAATTCTGCAAGATGTTATCAAATTAGTTCCATCTCTGCACGTTCAAACATGTTCAAAAGTCCGCTGTGAGGAGCTAGAAATGTAAAGATACCATGAGAATATTAATCAGACACTTTGATGAGTCTCATCTACGGGGAATGACCAACATTAACAGTTTGAAAAAGGGAAATTTGGGAATTAAGAAGAGGACCTTGAGTTAGGCATTCTCAGAGGATGACTGCTTCTCATGACCAACATGAACTATAATATGTCAAATCCTGGTCCTCAAAGGCCATTATTCTGCATGGTTTACTTGTTTATTTGTTCCAACACATCTGATTTGAGACATCCAACTTCTGTGGAACTGCTTCACTGGCGTGCTTTACAGGTAATTCGACCACTGAACCAGGTGTAAAGGGGCAGGAAAACAATTGGATTATGCACAATTCTGACTCTCGAAAACAGAACACAACTGGAGTACAGTGTGGCTGAAAAATTTGAGAGACTTCCTTTAGTGTCACACAATCATGATGCATGATCTTACAAAATTTCATTTCACAAAAGATTGTTAGGGAGAACTGCAGAATTTTTAGCCAATCAACATCGCTGAATTTTATTCCTCTAGGACTCTGGCCAACAGCGGCCCTGCTACAAAACAGCTAGCTAGCATGCTAGAAGGTACTACTTCATCTCTTCCCTATCTCTGTCACCTCCTAATTCACATAAATTCACTGTTGGTTTAATAAAAACAGAGTTGAAATCATAGTTGTAGCTGTTACTACAGGACATGTTTATTTGTTCTTATTTTATATGATTATAATCTTCAAAACAGGAAATCTAATTGTATTTCATTTTAGTGCCACCTACTGGTATAACCTAATAGTGCAGATAATAATGAATTAAGACACAGGCTGTTGGAAATTGAAAACTCAAATAGGAAAACAAATTAATAATTAAAAAATGTGAACAAAGAGAGAACGAGTGGCAGTTTCTCACATGGTAGGCTTGTGTATTTATTTGAGCATTATAGTCAAATTTTTCTGCACATTTTCTAGTTGACTTATCTGTTAAACTGCTTATTTGGTGGAGGAACATTAATGATTGTTTTGGAATTATAGTGTTTTTTATTTATTTATTTTTAGCTTTTTTATGTGAATACTTATAATGAACTAAAAAGGGAAATCTTTTCACATCTAGTGCCACCAAGAATGTTTTTTTACCAGCCACTACATGAACTCCATTCTTTGAGCTGTCTTTTGCACTTTTGCTGTATCAAATCGAATCAATCAAATCAAAGATACTTTATTAATCCCAGAGGGAAATTAGAGTTCCAGTACACACAATTCAGAGATCAGACATACATGGGCAAGACACATGACAAGAATTGGTGACTGTGGTCATTCGCAACCCTGAGTCGCACTACCTTAATAGAGATAAGAGGGTTACATGAGGATTGGTTCATGTGGAGGGGAAAAAAAGGCACTTCAGAGTTACCCTCCACCAGGAGAGCAGCTTTGCTCTGCAAAAAAAAAAAAAAAACAAAAAAAAAAAACACCTCAGACAGATATGCAACAGACTTCAGACAACACAACATAAGTGTCCACTAGGTAGGGTGGTGGGTTGGTACTATCCCAACTTCAGTTCCTGCAGCCACGATAAGC